TAGACTGACCATTTCAAACAAGTTTAAAAGAGTATGGTAAGACACATCAAATGTGAAGTATCCAAACTTCTTGAAGAATAAATATCTAAGGAATTTGATTTGTATTTGCTCAATCATGTCGACAAGATAGGTTTGATGAGGATACCACACAGTTGCTCCAAACTCAAGTTTAGGCCGTACCAGGGTGCAATATAAAAGTTTGAGACTGTAAATGTTGGTTATAAAACTTCCTGATCTGAATATGAAGCCAAGAATTCGATACGCTGATCTACAAGACTCAATTACATGATTAGAAAAACACAACTTGCTATCAATTGTAACACCAAGATCTGTGACACTACTTCGACTACCCAGTAAATTACCATTCATGGAATATTGGAAGTTAACAGCGTTGTGAGTGCGTCTGGTGTAACTGACAACAAAACATTTATCTGAATGGAATTTTAAACCTACATCACTCCAAGCCACTAGTCTATCCAGGTCTTGTTGCAATAGAAGACAATCACTAACGTCGTTTATTTCTCTAAAGATCTTTAGATCATCAGCATAAAGAAGGACTTTACTATTCAACACACTGTTAACGATGTCATTAATGAAGATTGTGAACAATAAAGGGCCAAGGTTCGAACCCTGGGGAACCCCTGAAGATACAACAAATTCAGAAGATGAACTTCCCTGAAAAAAAACAAACTGTTTTCTGTTATGTAAGTAGGTCGAAAAAAAACGCAAACCATTGCAGGTGATACCAAGATAATTCAGTTTTGACAATAGTGATAGATGGTTAACTTTGTCAAACGCTTTTTCAAAATCAGTATAAATGACATCAACCTGACCTCCTTTGTCCAAAGAGGAAATACAAAAATCAGAAAAATTCATCAGATTAGTATTGATAGACCTCCGAGGATAAAAACCATGTTGGAGAGGCGTAATCCAGAACTTCACATGATTGAAAACCCTGTCATACAACACGGCTTCGAACAGCTTCGCTGGTGTGGACAAAATAGCAACCGGTCTGTAGTTTTTTATATCACTCTTTTTCCCCTTCTTGTGGATAGGGACAACTTTTGTAGTTTTCCAAAGATTAGGAAAATACGACGCACCTAAAGACAAATTGAAAATCTTTAGAAGAGGCTTAACTAACAGTTCAGCACAACCTTTGAATATAAAAGAAGGGACACCATCAGGGCCTACAGAGCGTTTGGGTTTAAGTTTTTTTAATGCCAACAATAACTCCTCCTCAGTGACATCACCAAATGCGAGACAACCAGAGTGTGCATGGATAGGTGAGCAGACCGCCTGGCGATACAACTCCTCATTATCAAGATGTGTGGGAACGTAAACAGATTGGAAGTAAGTAGCAAATGCCTCCGTTATCGCAACACTCCCCTCCACCTCCTCCCCGTCCAGAGTCATCGCAGCCACACGACTATCACTCGATCTTAGCCCCTTAATAATACTCCAAAATGAATTAGGATTTACCTTAATAGTATTTTCAATGTCGTTCAAATATTTTAAGTAATCTGTTTTGATATTACCTTTGGACTGACAATGTAATTCCTTATATTCCTCTGTAAAACACTGGTCTTTATATTTCTTTAATTTCCTTCTCGCCTTTTCTTTGTCTTTAATTAATTTAATCGTAACAGGAGAATACCAAATAGGATATTTTCGTTTAATATTCTTACGCAATGGGACATTTGAATCTAGGGCTGAATATAAACTACTATAAAAATTATCAACTGCTAAATCTACATCCGAACAACTATATACAGAATCCCACTTAATATTCTTTACAGCAGTGTAAAGCTTCAAATAATCCACATTCTTGAAATTGTAAATTTTTCCCCCTTGATTATTACAACTAAAATTAGTTGTATGGTTTCTGCTCGAATAGATTTAGGTGGTGTTGTGGGAGGGAAAAATTTGCTTGTGTTGGGCTGATGTATGCCTCTGTGTCTTGGCTGCGCTGTTATAGTGGTGTGGATAATGACTTCTCTTTTATGGAGTAAAACTGATGTGAGGATTTTAAGGTTCTTGAATGAATCTTGGCAACTGTCTCTGTAGTTCATAACTTATCTGCCAGGCATCTAATTGCTCTTTTTTGCTTTACGAGTACTCTTTCTAGGTATCCTTTTGATGTTCCTCCCTAAGTCGCAATGCCCTACCTATGACGTAGAGACTTGAGCATAGCTTTTTGCAGAGCTGGTCTATGTGAGCGAGGTTTCCAGGGTAGCTTGAAGTAAAATATGATGCCAAGGTATTTTGTGGTATTTTGTGTTTGTAGTCCCGGTATTGTAATGTCTGAGTTGTTGCATTTGGTGGTGAAAGGCATTTGAACAGTTTTGCTTTTGTTTAGAACTAGGTCATTGTAGGCACAGTTTTGCTTTGTTCTCTGGAGTTGTCTGTTGGTTTTCTCTTCCAGATTTTTCATAGTTTTGCAAATGTAAGTACCGTGTCATTTGCGTACATAGTGGTGTGTCCATCTTCCTCAATACAACTAGGTATGTTGTTTGTGACAAGGAGGAAGAGGACTGGACCAAGTACTGATCCTTGGGGTACTCCTCTTTTTATGTCTACAGCTTTGGATTAGGCTTTATACTTTGTGTTGTTCTTTATGTAGGCTATTTCCACAAACCTTTTTTGCTTGCTAGTGTAGTATTCAAATCATTCTGCTGCTCTTCCTCTCACACCTAGTGTTTCCAGCTTGAATAGAAGAAGTTCATGGTTTAAGCAGTTGAAATATTTACTAAAATCTAGGAAGAGGCTTGAAGAAGTGGCACCTTCTTCTGGTTGGTCTAGTATGTGCTCCGTCAGTTGTATTAAGGGTCTGGCTGTTGATCTGCTTTTAATATATCCATGCTGTTAACTATTGAGAAGGTTGTGTTCTTGAATCTCATTTTCCAAGGCCTTTATTCATTTTTAAGTCTAGTTGAGATTTCTTGATCCCAGCACTGTCTCCTTTTATGTTCTTTAACTCTTGAAAATTGAAGACGGCAGGCGTGTTGTCTGGATGATGATGCTGAAATTGTTGTAGGCTTCATTTACATAATGAGTTAGGTTTATAGTTTCACAGTCTTGTTCATGTAGCGGTGTCTTAAAGTTATCAATTGTTGTTTTGTTGAAGATTTGTTTTTTTATGTTGTTGATGATTGGTTTTTTAGTGATTATTTTTGCAATTTGTGTGGTGTGGTCAGATAATCCTGATGTTATTTATCACTGAGGCTTATATTTGTTGATTATCAATGTATTAACATATCCAGTCTATTGATGTTACTGAGTCACTCATATAGTTCATGTGGGAGGTAGCTAATCAGACTTGTGGTGTTGAAGGAGGTTAGGAGTTCTTCTATTTTTTTTTTCATTTTCACTGCCATCAACTAGGTTGATTACATTGATGTTCCAAATTATTACCATTTGCTTATCCGCAGTAAGCACTCTTTCCAGTTTTTCAGTGAGTATATCAATGGCTTGGTCTAGGTTTACACCTGGTAACCTATATACTCCAAACAGTAGTAGTGGGTTCCTGTTTAATTTCAGTTCAAAAAGTACAGTTTCACAAGTCAGTTCTAATTCCTCGCTACTTGTGCATACAAGTGAGACATGCTTTTCCCAGCCACTTCTTACATAACCGACCACTCCCCCTTTGACATGAGATTTCCTTGAGAAGCCTCCATTAAGTGAATAATTTCCTACCGGTGTGTTCTACAAGTTTTGTTATAGTACGCCATGCTCTGTTATTGAGATAAAGTCTGGGTCTTCATCTAGGAGGAAGTGTGCTAGTCTATCAGTGTTTTGTTTTTAGATAGCCAATTTATGTTTTGGTGTAGAATTGTCCTGGTCGGTTATGAGGTGTTTGGACTTCTACTGTACGGAGTGTCGGCAGAGATGTGTTACATCTTTGAACTGTTGTTTGAGCCTTTCTCTGAGTTGGAGGTGTTCTTCTAAAAAATGATGGTGAGAAGTGGGATTATTTAAGGGTGGTTCTGTGATTTTCCCCATGTTAATGTGGTCTGGAAAGTTCCTGTGAGCTAAGTAAGTTTGCTTGTTGTATCCAACAGTCTAGTTTATGGGTGTTATGTAGAGGAACGAGTGTGTATATCTTGAAATAGCAGCGATGCAGTGGTGCTGTGATTCATAAATATCTTCTTTTTTAGTAGAGAAGACAGCTATGTTTTAGGCTTGCCATCCTTGGAATTCATGTATTGTAGATGCACTGAAACCTAGTTTGTTTGGTTCTCTTTTCTCAGCTTGATTGAAAACCAGGCATTTGTATTTATTTATTTTTGTCGAGAGTGAGATTCAGGCTTTCTAGTCTCTGGTAAAACTGTGTCACCAGTTTTTTTTTTATGTCTGGTTTTTGGTTTGCATTTCTGTAATGTTATGGTAAGTACTACGTTCTGTTTATATATGGTATTTGGCTCATGTTGCCAATAACCATTACTGCTTTAGCAGTTGATAAAGTATCTGCAAAGAGTATTTCTTTCATGGTGAGGTAGCCTCTGGATCACTAAATTTAAGCTAAATGGTTTATGTTACCTGGCTTTGTCGAGTGATCCTGCTTCAGTAGTGTATTACTATAGTTTCAGACTTAAAAGTCCATCTTCAGGTAAAATACAAAATCATCAATAAGTCATCTAACCAATTTGGTTGGATTCACCCTTAACACTGAGAACAAATATACAAACACGAAAAAACACAGAAAACAAATATAATACTGTAAAACTGGCCAGTGTAATCAATCACGGGAGACACGTATTTCTTTGGTATCCATCATTAGGGCATCATCGATAAAGAGCCTATTGTAGATGTTTCCTCTCTTAAGGTTCATCAGGAATGAATAGGGGTAGGACCAGGTAGAATAGTAGTGAATGAAGTGTGAAACATAACGTGTTGGTCTCAGATTCAAACTAGCTTGCTTGGTTGCGACGCAAGCTTGCGGGAGATCTTAATTTACAGACAACCTTCATATCTTTTTAGCTTTTTAATTGTTCAATACTTACTGCTGTCTGACTCCTTTACTCGAAGTTTGAGGACATCTCTAATTGTTGGAAGAGTTAGTGACTCGTTGGAGTACTTTTTCAGCAGCTGCATGGTTAGCGGTTTGTCGTCAACCACCAGATGACGCTCTAGGATCTGCTTCACCTAAATAACGAGATTTCAAGAATATATTTCATTTTTCAGACTCAGCTATGTTAAATATACAGCAAACGCTAAGTAATTTAAGAGAGATGCCTGTTAAACCCCCAAAATAAAAAACAAATACAACCAAAGTTGCCTGGTTTCCTAGGGACGTACTGACTATTTAATAAAAACTGTTGCAACATAAATCGCTAAATGTTCAGTTGCCATAATGTAGCCTACTGGACACGTAAGGAGTGTTCAACTTGTGTTTACGTACATTATTCAAATTTTCACTTGATCATTGCTGTGTAGCTTGAATGCATTTGGCAAATTTATAATTAATTAGTATCAAGGAACATGTTAATGTGGACAGCAGCAAATTTCAAACAAAAAGCGTCCGGCACAGTAAGGATTAACAAGGAGTCCAAAAAATAAACTTTAACACAAAAATGAGGCTCCTCATGAGTTTACTACATTATGGACACTGAATAGCAGATTTATGCAAACCTCCCATTGTTACCTTTACACTTTGGCCACTCCTCTTTCTCTTCAATTAACAGCATTGCCACAGCATGAATCCTAAAAATCAAATTACAGCCCTCCTAATAGCTACAAATGGAATTTTCTACAGTGAATTGTTGTTGTGTTTGGGGATTTTCTACACTCAGTTCTAGCTGCCTCCAGGATGTTTCCAACTAGCCATACATTAGTGGGTTTGTTGTTTATTACTGTTTTATTGTTAAATAGGATAGTTGATTGGTTTAAGGTAATAAAAAAGGTTCAGTACTGTGAATTTAATCTGATCCTCTCATTTAACAGCCACCCAGCTCATAACTAGAGTTATATAAAGTTAAAGTTCCGGGTTTCACTAAAGCTATGCTCCCATGTATACATGCAGGATAACCTGTGAAGTGTGAGGGGGTTTTCTGAATATCACAAAGTGGAAGAGGCGCCGGAATTTTGTAAACTTTTACAACATTTTCGATTCTGGTACCTCGTTTAATTTGTCTCTCAAATATTTTGTTTGTAAATCAATTTTTGTTTGCGATACAGAGCGAGTTGGGTTGCTGTTAGGACATGCTAGGTTTTTGCTAGCTCGGCATAGTTAGCAGTATTGGTACAGAAGTTCCGCTGTACTTTGTTCAGTAGGGATTAAGCAATCTAGTCGAATTGTGTCTAGTAAGATTTACTGTGAGGCAATATATTCAAGCAAAGCATTCTCTTAACCTAGTTTAGAAGTTTTGAGTTACACTAGAAAATGAATTGTTTATTGGGTCTAAGTCTAAATGAGAAAAAAAAATTAAACAAGGAACAAGCAAAAGGAGTGTATCATAAACTCAAATTACCTATACCTAAGGGAGCCGATTTAAAGAGTTTTTACAATCTAGTTTAAGGTTTAATGAAACTATATGATAAGCATGAGCAAGAAAGTAATACATTTTATGAGGATATAAGTAAGTGGAATAGGAGAGTTAGTTTTATACAAGAACATCTATCGAATCCAAATTTAGACAAGGAAATTGTTTACGAGAACCAGAACGAGAACAAATAAGAAAACGAGGTCGAGAACGATTACGAGGAAATTGACAACTTTAGTTAAATTTCGGGTTCTATTAGTATTGCAAACATGGCTGTAAATAAAGAAAAACGGCCATTCTTTCATTCTGGAAATTTCTCGGGGTCGCCAGGAGAATCAATGGTGTCATTTATTAAACGATTCGGGAGGGCGGCTATAGTCAACAATTGGGATCAGAACAAAATTAAAAGATATTTTCCTATTTACCTTTCGGACCCGGCCCTTGACATTTTTGAGAATTTTGAAGTAAAGAATCCAGTCTTAATTTGGGATATCATAAGGAGGGAGTTTTAGAAAATTTTGCTTTTCTTTGAGTTTAATTTGGTTTAATGTTTAACTATATTTTGGAGCTCAAAACATTGATAGTCCTTAACCTGACGGGGGGCTACATTCGCTGACTCAGCTGGTGCAGCAGCTACAGGTGGCCGATCTTTTTGAAAGAAAGAGTAAGATAATGGAAGGAGCTGTAGAGAGCCTAACTATTATAAATGCTGAGTTAGGGCAGGGAGAAGATAGCTTGACGATTCGAGGTTTGTTATGGATTTGTCACGTAGAAGGAGCTGGTCCCAGGCTTGAGATAGAGATTACACGGGTAGATCCAGTGAGAAATTTGTTGCAGAGTGAGGGAGGTGAGCTATGATAGACGACAAAGAAGTGTTAGTCATGATAATAAAGTTAGTCATGATAGGAAGTTCAGTGACCCTAGCTGAGACGGGGATGTTATACATGTGGGGCTCTCGGCCATTTTGCCCGAGAATATAATTTTTCAAAGTACTGAATGGTTGGGAGTTCAGAGATATGGACACTAACAAAACAGGTCCAGAAAAATTTAAATTTCATACATTCAAAAATAAAATATTGAGAAGGATATATGTCAAAGACAAAGTTTGGAGAATACTAAAAAATAGAATACTCAGAAACTTCTACAGGAGACCACATATTGTGGCGATGAAAAGAAGTAGGAGTATTAGGTGGCTTGGTCATGTGAGAAGAAGATAGGAGGACGCAACAATAAGAAGGGTGTGGAGAGATCAACTAGAAGGAAGGCACCCTTTAGGAAGACCAAGATTAAGATAGAGTAACCAAATAGCTTAAGATGTAAGAAGAATTGGGGGGAAAGTGGAGATGGCAGAGGACAGAGTAGTCTGGAGGAAACATTTTGGCAACGCCTAAAGTCTACTTGGATTCAAGGGACTACAGGAGTAAGTTTGGTTATTTATATCTTTCATACCACGATACATGAGAGGCAGTTACTTACATGGTAACCAAAGTCCTTCATGAACATTTTCTTGTGTGCGGTGGGGTACCGAGCCTCCATGCGAGTCCAAGCATAGTCCCGAGGTACAAAATAGGTAAACTTCTTACTGGGGTCGTCCAGTTGAAGATTGAAGTTGTTAGTCTTGCCTAATTGGTATGTTTTGCTGAAACAGTGTGTATTACTTACTAAAGTTATACCAAACTGATAGCATTTTGTTATACGGTCAATGTATTCAAAGTTTCTTTCTACTTCAATTAAGGTTGTCTTTGATAATTGTTTCTGTGAAAAAGCATTTACTCCTCCTAGTCACGATTATTTATAATCTACTGTGGACTTACTAAAAGTAAAAAAATTGACACTTTGGTGAACTGTTAGTGCAACACTACAAAAACATGGAGCAATCAAATATTTCGTTTGTGTAAACCAGAGGAAATTATAGATTGATAACCAACATGGTTTTCTATCTTCTCTTAAAAATAAAACTATTACTTTTCTCTGTAAACGTTAACGGTAAGACTTTCATTGACCTCATTGTTGGCATTGTTTAATAAAAAAGGCTGTTTACCTTCCGCCCTGAAAAACATTTAATTTGAAGCCACTCTCTAATGAAACTGGAGTAATTGATTGACTATAGTTTACCCTGAAATTGGGGTTAATTTGATAGTCAAAGTAGCAATAAGATCTTTATCTTTCTAAAGCTTATATAAATTGCAAAAGAAGAGTGAATTTAAGTTTGAATTGAGTATTAAACTCTCTACATTGAAACTTAGTTTTTGAGATTTTAGTTTATTCTCACGATTAGTTTAGATATACTAAAACATCTATAGTAGCTACTTAGAACCTGCAGTATGTGTTATATACACAGAAACAGTTTGTACTAAAAGTTTTTTTTTTATGATATGTTGTTTTTCCAAAGAGCAAACAATCAAACTTAAACGTGAAAGTCTGATAAAATTATGTTAACCGGTTAGAGTTAACATTATATACTTTTTCCCAATTTACTTAATGTGATCGAACATTTAAAAAAAAAATTGTATAATGATAACCACCATAACTTTAAAAATCAGTTCCTTAAGTTGCTGATTTATTTTCTAATATCAGTTATCTGAGTGGGTGTATAAACATGTCAGACCATCTTACAGAGGATAACCTTGGTATAATCTGTACTGTATGATTACTAGTAAAAGAGAAGTACAGAATTGAACACAATACAATTATGCTGTTACTCACTTGAGCATTGGGTCTGTGGCAATTTTCCTGCCTACAGTTGTAAAAGGAACGCCAAGTACTCTGTCGATAATGTGAACGATGCCATTGGTTGCTGCTATATCAGGTTGTATAACAGTCGCATTTACTCCGCCTCCTTCTACTGTCAAAGTCTTGTTGTGTCCGTGGGTAACTACATTGAAATACAAGCTCTTGCGGGGGGCCAGAGTAGGAACCTTAAACAGAGGGGAGTGCTATGACGAGGAAACAAGGAAAAACAAACCAAAACCAAGACAAACAAACCAAACAAAAGTCAGGTTAAAGAAAAACAAAGAGGAAGAGGAGGGAAGAGGGATGAAATGAATTAGTAAACTCATAGTTTGTAATAGGTCATTGGTGTAAAATATAGTAAGGCATCAATAACTGTAAAATATTCTTGAACAAATTTCCTATTTTTGACTGAACATGTTAAAAAATTATCTTGGGGGAACAATTGGTTTGAAATCTTATGTACAAATTGAAACCCAGATAAATGTTATACTAACTTTTGTTTATTGTAAAGTGTGCGCCAAAAAAAACCTGATTTGTTTCTGTTTTGTAATAAGACAGCTGTTATACAAGCAAGACCTAATTATTGTTGTAGTGAACAATTGCTTATGTTATGCCATTTTAAGGTTATGTTTGGTGAAACATCACTTCGTCGAATGAAAGTTACTGTCTAGTGTGGTGTGGCCCGGTTTGGAGTTATATGTTTTTAAGGACGAAAGGGGGAACACCGTCACTGTAAACTCGGAACGCTATGTGGAAGTGGTGAGGGGGCTTCCGAGTTGCTTTGTGTACCGAGTTGGATTGTTCGAGTAGCGTTCCACATGGGTTCCACAACTGCAAATGTTAGGAGGGATAGACTAGACATGACCAACACATGGTTTCAACAGGACGGCGCAGCTTGTCACACAGCCAATTATTCAATGATAGTTTTGCGTGAACTCTTTCCCGGCAAAGTGATCTCTTGGTTTGGTGATGTGCCGTGGCCAGCTCGATCCACAGACTTAATTTCGTGTGACTGTTGGCTGTGGGGCCACTTAAAAAGCAAAGTGTTTGTTTCGAAACCTCAAACCATCTCTGAACTCAAGCAGTGTATCCGGGAAGAGATTGCTACTATTCCTCAGGCGATGAAATGGAAGGTGACTGCGAATATGCAGAAAATATGGGAAGCCTGCGTCAACGGAGAAGGTCATCACCCAAGTGATATAATTTTACATAAATGAAAATGGCATAGTAGTGTGAATATTATAACATTATTTAATACATAAAATTGTATTTTGTTCTTGAGTTACTTAGTATTAAAAACCGTCAGATTATTTTGGCGCACCCTGTAGAAAGAATAACTAGTACACATAGCTGGATGGATTAGATAAGAGTAAATTTCACTTGTAGTAGACAAATTCAAAATAGAAAATAGTTTTTTCATGTTTATTAAAAAATTTGATCCGAAACAGAAAGATTACGGTATTAGATTAGATCCACTTGCAGGGAAAGTATTTATGATGACAGTACTTTTCAAATTACTAGATAGCATATAGTTATTCAACTTTTTCACTAAAAAAGAGCAGAGATCTTCCATATTTGAGGTAAAATAATAAAAAATGCATGCCTTACAATAAATACAAACCCTAATACAAAACGTGTGTGTATTATGTATTTACAAAACTACACAGGTCTTGTATAAGGAATTCATCTTAAAGTACACAAGTTTTATAGTCACAGGTATACTTTTTATAGAAAGTTTTTTTTTCTGCACACTAATAAACACACACATGGTAGTTGATTAGTGAACTATGCCAAGAATTAGCTTAGTAACGCACATATTACGTATCGCTCAAAGAGGGTGGAAGGGTTTGGCTTAGCGTTACGCAGCCTAACATGGAGGGGGTAGGAGGTTTTCAAGGTTGTTACGGTAACGCACTAAAAAATATATTTTTTCCCAAAGTACCAAAATGATCAAACCTTTTAGGTACCGTCTTCTTGGTGAAAATATTTTTAGTATCAATTTATATGTGTAATGTTTATCTTTGGTCTAGAACTGATATTCTAGTTTCTTAACGTCTTACCATCTCCTAGCTCTGGTTTTCCAGTCATAGAGGACATGCAAGAATTGATTCGGTCACCCTGGGACGACCAGAATTTTGTACTGTTAAATTTAACATGTAATGTAATGTAAATTTTGTCCAGAAGTGCTATAGTAAACAGCACCTAAACAAATGTATACAATTACTGATGTAAAATTTTTTTTTATTGTTAATATTAATCTGTTTAAATATTGTGTTCAAATAAAGTTTGTTATGAAAATATTTTTTTTTTACAATACTTCCAAACAAACTTTTTAAAATCTTTTTTACTTAGTTTTCATACCCCACAACCTTGTCTAAGAAAATATCTGACAGTGTTACATTACAGGGGTGGAAGAGGGTTTAGGATTATGTTATGCAGTGTTATAGTGGGGGAGTGGGGTTTAGGCTTGCGTTATACAGCGTCACTGGGAGGGAGGGGTTAAAATATGACAATTGTGTTACGTAATATGTGGACGGCCCCTTACAGTAAAAATTATTGAACCACCTGTATATATACAAATGCTTACACAGAGACCTTTAAAGCAAAGGCAGTAAATGTGTCCAATATTAGATAAGAAACTTACCGACTGATGATTAGCAGTAGTGATCTGATCCATGGTAAGGCGTTTCTCAACCAAGTGCATGTTGAGAATCTCCTTGATTTTTGCTCGGTCTCGCACCAAGTTGTTGAGGTTTGAGTCGAGCCATGCTGTGTTGGAAGGAGCAAACAATGTAAGTTCTCGCATCCGCGTTATCCGATCCATGAAATCTCCTTCTGTGTCTCTAATAACTTCGTAGAACTTGTATAGAGGTCCATCTTCTCGATCCTAAATATAACACCAAATTTATTATTTATTGTATGAACGATATAATAGCTCATTTACATTCCATATTTCCAAATAAAACTTAAATTTAATTTGTTTCTCTGTATACATTTTGTGATCATAGTGTCATTGACAAATATTAGAAAATTTTATTCCTCTAATTTGGTTTTTTAAAATCACACATTTAAACATATTAAAACCGCTTATATGGAAAGAAATCAATACAATTATGACAACCCCCTTCCAACAGTTTCTAGACCATTGTCATGCTTATTTAGAGGGCCAAAAATGAGTAGAGTTGGTAAATATCTTTGATTGTTTAAAAAATTTGGTATAAATTGAAATCAAAATTAAAAAATGGATGTAAAAATATGTATCAACAAGATTATATTTTATGTAGAACCATTAAAAAACATTTTACTGTCCAAAGAAGACAATTATTTTCAAAGGATGGTTAAACATGTAATAATATAAAGTACTTCAACTAAGTAAGCACAATATTTTAATAAACAGCAGAATCTAAAACTGTAAGATACTACTACCGTACACTGCAGTATTTATTTGTTGTTGTATGCTCTGTTTGAATTATTCGTCAAATGGTTAGCATAAAACCTAACATAGGCGTCCATCTGCTCCATACCCCTTACGAAGTAGGGGTACTGGATGTTACCAGTCCTTGCTAGGAGGACTAGAGGATAAGGAATAACCCCCAGTAAAAAGAGCGGTTCAAGGGTCCTTGAAAATTGTTAAATTTATTTTTTAAATGGTTGATACAACATATTTTGTAACTAAATTAGCATATTTCTAAATTGCAAAAAAAGCAAGTCATTTACAATACAATACATAAAGTATTGTATTGTAAATGAATTGCTTTTTTTGCATAAGTTAAAAAGTTTTAAAAATTTAGTTAACATAGGGTCTCCACATTGGGGGGGCTTGGGACCCCCTTGAAAATATTGATGGACGTCCATGAAACCTAAATAACTTTTTATACGAGAAGTGTTAATGAGCATATCAATTACTGTTGTACGTTATAAGTTGATTTATCTTGCTTTTATAGTTTAAAAAGCTTACCTATACACACGTTACATAATAGTTTCTTTAAGGAATAAACATTGCAAAATATACCACGGTACTGTATTTATCAAAGTATTGCTACTGTAACATCTACCTTTAAATTTCTTATGACCCCCCCTCCCCCATTGACATAAACATTATAAATTATTATAAAACAATTTTGTTACAATTTTAGAGGTATTTCTGTAGGAGGGAATTTCTTCATGGAAATATAAGAATTGAATGTTGAAAAGAAACAATACTTTGGAAAAACAGCTACAATATGTAACAGAATTAAGATATATATACCCTTTAATTTGCCAAATTTGGTTACTGTAATGATCAAGTGGAATATGTTAACAATACAGGGATATATTAAATGAAGAGTATTGTATTAATCAACAATTTTTAATTAATAACAATAACAATGTTTCTACTTTTACTCTTCACAAATATATTTAAACAGTATTTGGCATGCAATCAACTCTAAGAAATGTAACTAAATTTTCAGTCGTATCGGTTTATGGTTAAACATTAATTTAAAAAATATTATATGTAATAAAACATTCAAAACTCATAAAACATTCTAAATTCCTACTACCATTAACATTACACTAGACTACTGTAGGCAATCAACTAAACTACAAAATTAAGCATTCATTTTCACTTAAAAAAATAAACCATCCCTGAGGTTGAAAGAAAATTTAAAATGATGAGTAAGAATGGTTTTCTATTCCTAAATATATTTTGGTCGTGCAATTGCTCATATTTTTTAGTTAATAATCCATATCAGAATTAATTAAACATATTGTTATTTCTTTCTCCTCTACAACATAAGGAAAATATTTCTGATGTGAGCGACTGATGGAAATTTTAATTTAAACTCTGAAATAGATTTAATAAAGGAAGAAACTATTAATTCAAGCATCCAATTAGACCAAATAGACATATAGAGTAAAGTAGTATACCTACATCGTACATTGTGACGTAGTTACTATCATACATTGTGCTTTAGTGAACTTAGAAGCTGACTCTTATACTATGAAATTAAATGATAAACTTAATAAATAAATTAGTTATTAAAATTAATAATAAATAGTAAATTAAATTAATAATAAATAAACAATAACCTTTTTGGGCTCTGAAAACATGGCAGAAGACATTGGTTTATTTGTTCGCCCCAGAGGTTTAAAGTTTATTTTACAGTGATGAGTTGTTGATTTTGTTAAGGCAATATAAATTTTATGGATAGTCTACATAACATTTAGCCAAATAATTGCAATCTGTACCATAAAAGAGCAATACCAATTAGGACCAAAAAGCCACCTCTAGTTCCAAAGAATGTGAGTGTTAAGTATGATTTGCATATCACTACTATGGGTAGTGGGTAGGCTACCAATAGATCTACTTAAGGAGGGTTTAGGTTGAAACACAAATAGGGAAGGTAAGAAAGTCATAGAGTTATACATTAAATAAAACTTGTGAGGAAATGAAAAGCAAGTGAAAAGTGTGTAGGTACTTACAAATCCCTGAAGACCCCCATGCCACATGCGAAAAGCACATAGAAAACATAGAGAAAGAACCATGAGAAACATGTGAGGCCTGCGGTCATTTAGAGGTATTAGTTTGCACTTATTATTTTTTAAACACATAGTAATATGTAAGTGTTTATATTTTGTTCCTCGAGTTATCAATTTATTTGTTTTAATTTAACCAGGCTTGGATATTGTATAACAGTTTTATTTTTTTTTTACACAAATCAAAGTTTGTTCAACCTTTTGGGGCTTTGTGCCTTTTGGTTATTTAATTAATCATATGGATGAAATAATAGATGTCTTTCACTTTGAAAATGTAAGGTGTGAGTGAAAATATAGCTAGTAGTGTTGAAAATAGCTATTTGTGTTTTAAGAGCGTGAAGTTTTTAATTACCGCTAAGCTTCGTGTGGCCATACATTGTAAGAGCTGCAATGACTCTAATGATGATTTAGATTTTTTTTTTGTGCTTGTAATACACAAGATTTTTCCTGACTCCAAAATTAACTTATAAAACAAACAGATTAACTTTTTAGATGTACATCAAATGTCATTTAGGTTATGTTATTAATTACGGTTGTTAACTAATGTACCGGTTACGCGGCTATGATTGGTCTAGAAATGACAACTGGGAAATCAGCTGATTTATCGAGCGGGAATGAACCATTCCCGCTCTAGAGCAGCAATGAGCTATTTTGCGTACTGTTTACAGGTATTGCAATGAGATAATTTACTTGCAGATGTAGGAAAGTCTTTGATGTATTCTAACTCGTTTTATTCTAATTATGATGTTACTTTTTCATTACATGAATGAAAATGTTTAAAATGTTCTTAAAAAATGCGTTAGTTTATATTTTAAAAAAATTACAAGTAATTTCATAACAGTAAATATACTTTTAAGAAATTACTTGTCAATTTTATTTTTATTTTAAGAGTTTAACAGCTTTTTAACATTGACTTTATCCCCTATAAGGGCCTCAGACCACACAAATGAGTTGTAATGATAAACATTTTGTGACAATACTGGGATGCGAACTAACATCTTTGTTTTGGTAGTACAGTCTACTTACTACCAAGTTACATTAAACCTCTATATGGTATAATTATTATTAGCTTTATCCAAAATAAAATTTTTGTTTTAACCACAGCTGAACATGTTTGCCAATTTCTATCACAACAATCAAGTTCATTCATCCAATAATTTATTTTTTCAAGCCTGAATAAATATTTATTCATTTAATCATGGCATCCGCCACAGACCCGGCATACTGAAACAGCTGTTTGCACTGATTCATAATGGAGTGTCTGTGCAATGTTTAATGTATACATATTACATGTGTTTTATTAGGCCTACTATTATTACCATGGCTGCGACTGCCACACGCAAATGCTGCAGCCTTGTATTAGAGGAGATTTTGAGGTTTATTCATATTTTTGAAACTATATTGAAATTTTAAGAGGGTGAATAAGGGATTAAAGATAATAACAGTGTGAGATTAGACAGGACATTAATGTAATGTCTTATGTGATGCACCAAGCATTAGAATACACATTTCATCTTCATACAAATATTTAAAAGTTAATTTAAAAACAAAATATTTCTACCTACAACATTTACTGAACCCATTGCGTATTCAATATCCAAATATGTATAGCATTTATATCCACCAAATAATGTGTGAGATAAGTATTAATTGCTCCTAATAATAAATCTATACTCAAAACTTTTGCAAATTGTGGTTCTTATAATATTATGACAAGTGACTGTAACATTATGGCTTTTTAATTGACAGTAATTTTATAACTAGTATAAACATTTCAGTAAAATGAGGAAAGGATGCAAACTTGTACCTCTAAAATCTGGTTGAAACATTAAATACATCAGTGACAGATAGAAAAAAAACACAGTGATCTGGTGGCTAGTGTGGTGGAAAACATCAACCTAAATACCATGAGATACAAAAAATAAATGTAGGTAAACAAATGTTGAATCAGCTGCGTCCTTGTATTAGAATGTTAGATCTACATTGAACCACACGGCCGCCAAGAGCCATGCGAGTCCGAAATCTGTAAACATCCTCAACACCCTCTATAGAGTGAGGAATTCCTATCCATGCTCATTTTTTCTTAATATGAAAACATGCTTATTTCATATCCTTGTATCTTTTATACGCAGTATTACTTTAATAATTAATTAATGTGAGGATAACTAAAACAGACTGCAACTTGGGCCCCGGGAGAAATCAAAATCAGGATTTTTTCAAATATTTATGACTTATCATCATAATTGTAGACTAGAATTCCCTGATTACACTACAGCCCAAAGAGTAAGATTCTAAAGAATCAGTATTTAAACTCTCTAGAAGACTGCTTGATTGTTTTAGTTATTTTTTTTTTAGAAGAACAGATAATCACTCATCTATGCAGTCTAAAAGTACCCAGAAGGATGGGTTTTGATTTTAGTAACATCATACTAAAATACAATTTCAAAAATAACAAAAATATGCTAAGTGTATAACTTTTAACTAGTACTGCATACCACTGTATATAAATAGATAACATTTCAGTTTTTGTCATAGGAGAGCTACACATATCCTTCAGATTGTGCTAAGCAAAGGCAAGACACCTATGATCTTCCAGCTATCTCAGTTCTCGAACACTAAAACGGCGTTTTGAGGGGCAATATAAAAGTATAGGTTCAGTAATCAAATTAATTATGCAATTTAACAATAAAGTTTTTATTACCAGGGAGGTTTTTTAAGTAAGGGACGTTTTTGCGCATTAATCCGTAGTTAGCTTGTACATTTACGCCACAACGATCTCCTTGCCACTTACTGGCATCATTTGTGAACAGAATAACACCATTTACAGCTCTGCAGCTGTTATGTACGCTTCGCTGTGTGTTTTTAAATTATTTTAAACTACGGTATCGAATCCGCGTATGAGATATTTTAAATTGAAAATTTAAAAATTTAGAAAATTTGAGAAGTTCAAATTGAAGTTTGAGTCAGTGATAAGTTTTCGATTACAAAAAACATACCCGATGCCTATATTCATCGCCATATAACTGGAATTTATGACTCTGATGCAATGATAGCGGGGAAAGTGCAGATATAGGCTAAGGAGTTGGCCGTGAAAATGTTCATTGGGTACCCAGACTTGTCACAGAAGACCACAAAGGAAAAAAGATTTCACGACCATTTTTAGACTCCAAAACCCATTTCCATACTTAACTCTTACTCATTGCATTACGCACATAGCCTTCAGTAATCTGGAAATGAAAGTCAGCATTGGATATGTTTATTGTGGTAAAATCGTATCACTGACCTGGGTGTCATGATGCAGCCTTTGCATCTTAGTGCCTTGAAAATGGGAATACTTCATAGAGTACCACGAACCATCGGCAACTACATAATAATTGTCTTCATCCCCAATAATTATTTTGTCTTCGTTCTTTGAGACCCAAAGACCAGGATTTATCACTTTTAGAAATAGTGATGCTATCCCAATGGTATTTTTGGGCTGTGAAACTAAGCAAGTTTCAAGTCATTGAGCTTAGTGGCTTAGTCACTAGGGGTGGAGGGTGCAAAGTTTATCATAAATACACCTCTTGCTAATCAAATTAACCCTAATTCAGTGGGACTTTTAAATTGGTTTTTTAATAGGGCAGTGTCTACAAATATTGACCTAAAACACTTGGATAAACAATGACTACTAATAGAGGACTGAATAAGGTGCTCCCATAGATTGGATGGACATGTCATTTGTCCATAAATCATTTGTTTTCAACAGTTTTCAGGATTTGTTATTGAAGTAAAAGTAATATTCTACCCCATATGGACTTATTATGTAAATAATGAAATAATGAGCAAGTCTAATGGTGTCAAATATGACTTTTGTCCTCCTTTTTGGGAATAAGAAATATATGTTACAATGTTTTAATACAAATCATACTATTTTAATATGAATTAGTTAATATGAAAAAGAAAGAGTAAACCACATTTGACGAAATCAATCACTATATTGTATTGTTTAAAGATGGAAAAAATGACTATTGACTATTGACTATTTACATCGCATGATTTTTTCAAGATAACACTCCCTTAAAACAGTACAAATTCAATGAAGGAAAGTACCGTGCTATAAAATGTGTAAATGGTTAAAATCAATTAATTAAATGAAACAATAGCTGCAACATACATTTATGAATATAATTAAACTGATGGACAAAATTATGTAACACAACAAATTTTCAATAACTTCAAACATATATTAATAGATACTAAAATAATAGGTACTTCTTGGTAATACTAGGCCTACGGTATGCATGGTATGCATGTGACGTGTTATGGGCCTGAGAGACATTTGCGACCCTCCCCTTGAGAGAGTATTTTCTCCTCCTTGCCAACAAACCCAAAACCTTTGGCCCCCCTGGGTCCGGGCCCACTGAGCCCTTATTTACTTAAGTGGCCCTTGTAATATTAAACTACATATTTAATCAAAACCAGATAAGTAGAGTAAAAAAAAAAATAACTAAAATGTACAAATTGGATGTTTAACATAAATACAAAGTTGACCATTGCAATGTTGTTAACGTAGCACTGTTCAACTCTTGTATTGTCTGTATAAAGTATAATCTATAATGATTTATGTAGCCAGATTAATGTGAAAAATGTAATACAAATAAATATGGTAGATGGTCAAATATTTTTAAAATTTTGTCTGTGTTGTTGACTATCAATTCCAGATAGAAATGTTGTGACTGGATTGCAGAAAGAGTGATGTACTAATTAAAATCATACAACTTATAAGTAAGTCATGCAAGTAAAACAATACGGATTTGAAACAAAGGGAACACTACTGTTATCCTGTACTTCATTGAAATTCAGTCAACAGGCTGAGACAATTGATGGGGTTTATGTGGTGATTTGCTACATTATAACACAAAAAATATCTAAAAACAGAACATGCACATGCTATTCTTCAACAAAAAAAAACTAATATGCACACCATTTGTGATTGAAAAAGATATTTAAAATAATTCACACAAAAAAGACTACCGTGAGTCATTAAAAAAAAAACAATTACATTTATGTAACAGTGTCTATTATAACACCAGCAAAATATTGTTTTGTACTAATTGTATTATAACAACAAGAACTAGACCCTTGAACCCCAAAAAACACAAAGAAAAACTACACAGTGATAATAAAATTCTATTAAATGTGAAAACATTAAACTAAACTCACCTTGAATGACTGCACCACGAAGAAGGCAGGAGCAATGAAACAGAAACAAATTTGTAAGAATATCAATTAAGCAACCACTTACACTGTACTAGCTTAGTCCTTCTGAATCAAAGATCCAAACTAAAATTGTTTACCATAAAAGACAGAGTTGAAAAATATAAGTACATTTTTCCAACTCAAAAGATTTTATCTGCATTTCTTTTTTAGAAAACAACAGCTATTGATATTTGAATACACGGTGGTGAAACCAATTGTAGCAATGACAAAAGAATTCATCTGTTATCTCTACCCGTATCAGTATACTTACCAATCTAGGGCTCAAATTGACATCATGTATAATTTATATTTAAGCTGGAACATTGGTCACTTAATATTCTATAGGGCACCGCTTCACTTTACTATAGTTAGGGTCTGATGATGCGATTTGTTAAATAGGGCCAGAGACCCAGCTTGTGGGTCAGCATGAGGGGGGGGGGGGGTTTGCTATGGGTTGTACTCATAATCTGATCCAGTAAATTTAGTAATATAAATTTTACAATAATTGTGATATCTTAAGAAGTATATTATATTTTAACCAGGTGTAATACTTTTGTAATCATTATATTTGCAAGAGAATAATAGACATCGGAGGAGAATATTCATTTAATGACAAATAATATTGTGCTTTTTCGATGACCATCTGATATTAAAAGATTTAAAATGGTAAGTCATTACTGAATGTCAGGGGTTTGCTAACTAAAACTGGTAGTTTATTACATTACATGGCTAATAACATTTCCCTGAAGAAATCTTGAAATTTAGAAACTTTTGAATTAAACCTGATGCTAGCAAAATATATGGCACAAAGTAATTTTGGTGACTGTATAAAATATAATTGGAAATATTTATAACCAAGTGCTACTAGTTCTTGCCGAGTTTTACTGTTGAAGGGTCTAAATAGCAACAAGCAGGGTTAAAACACTGTAACATAATTTTATGTTAAATAATTATTCTGCTTAGTTTTTATCACTTTAAACCCTTCTTACTATTATCTATCATAACATGGAAAATATCAAATTTAATTTTGTTTCTGGAATTGATTTTGTTAAATTCCTCTCTTAATGTATGGTCATTATTCCTATTCCTAAAGTAGCACAAAGTAAATTACCTTAAAATTAACATTCCATGTTCTATCAAAATGTAAAACAATCTTTATTTCTCTAAATGAAAATATAAGCCTATTCAACCTAAAGCAAAATTTTTGTACATGGGACCCAACTTAGTTGTTTGTCAACCCTCACACATAGACATTTACATTAGGTTACATTTTATACCTGAGACCGAAGATTTTAGTGATTAAATGTAAACCAAAAGTTTAAATTAAACAAACTTTTAGTCTGAGGTGGTAATTTATTACTCTGTATTTACTATTGGTTTAAATTGAAAGGTGCAATAAAAAAAATTAAGCACAGAAAGTAAATAAAATAAACGTCTTATGTCTTATAACATTTAAAATAAAACATATATTTATGCTTATACTGTTACTCACAAGAAAGTAAATATACATAAAGGATGGTAAGTGGTGATTTACTTTCCGTAAATTTAATAACACGTACAATGCTGATCTGATCAGGAAGTTATTTAAAAATTTAAGTTATGTGAAATACAACTACAGTAACTTTAAAATAAAAAATGTATTTGATATAAGAAATACCTCCAAGAATTGGGTGACTGTAGTGTCAACAACCATCAATGGACGGTGTATAAGGTGGACAACTCCGTTCTTGACTGGAATGTTGGCTTTGACTATCTCTGCTAAGACAACACCTTCAGCATGATTCCCATCTCCCAGAATCGTGTGACTCTTAACGTACGCTAAAACAGTCATGTTACATACAGTATGTGTTTTCAGTCAATTTTTTATTCAATAAGTTTATTGAAAGCGGATATTTTTGTTTATTTAGGTGCACCAAAAAAACTAGACTGGATAATTGTGCAAAATACATAAAAGTTTGAAAATTATGGAGAACAAGCTGAATTACCTTAAAAATGCACAGTTTGTTATCCTTTATGATTAGTTAAAAAATTACAGTGCTCAGAAACAATCCCACTTGTCATTATGATATGAAAATATTTTTTATCCTGAGTTTAGCTCAACAACGTACAATTGAAGCTTGAGTGGCTGATATGTTTGTAGATGGTAGTTTCTATGATATAAATATGATTTTAAAGCTCTTGCACACTTTGAAAACCTCCAAAAATAAACTAGCTGACAAAGCAAAACAAACTTTCATTGTAAAAAAATATAAAAGTTGAGTTACTCAACACCTTCACAATCAAATTAATTCCCCTCGCAAGCTAACAAAAACTGTTATGATGTGTATAACTCATGGAATAGATGGGATGCCCATACCCCACATGTAAGTAAGTATACTGTATAAATAGTAGCTATCATCAACAGAATTAGGTCATCTACACGGCAATTTTACATTGTGTATTAGGGTAAGAATAAATCACCTATATTGGATAATTTGTAGATAAAAATGTTTAATTTATCTGATCTTCATTAAGAGACTTAAACTCTTTGATAATTAGTAATTATTGTGAGCACAAAAGCACCATTTTTTTTACTATTCAAATACATTTGTAATAGATGTAAATGTCTTCAATGACCATAATCTAATACAGTAAAATATCGACCTTCCCCATTATCCTACCCCACTTGTGAACCAGGTATGCTGTTTCTGTTTGGTATGACCGAGCACCCTAGCAGTAGTAGGGAGTTGCCATCGAAAATACCACTTTTAAGGGCCCTGACTGTTCTTTGAAAATATGCATCAGACTTGAAAACCTGCATTTTTCTGTACTTACTTTTTGTTTTAGTGTGCTACATACTTTACAGTCAGATAATAATAAACTCTACTTTAACATAAAAAATGGTCAATGATAAAAGTGTATTTTATACCTTCTTTAACCATGTCCATAAAATTTTGACCTAAAAAATGTAATAAAATAGTTGGCTTAAAAGGAACTATTGCCTTCTCTTGTATGTAAAGGGCAAAAGGAAATAAATTGCAACACCCTTACTCTTGCTTCCTTTGAGGCTGGTCTCAGTTTTGAATGAAATGGTCACTTTGAGCATGTCAGTGAAAGCTAATGTTTCATGCTCGACATCTTCTCTGGCTGCACTGGTAAATAACACTTCTCGGGGAATCACATGTCCGTCAATCACTTTCTCGTCAATTTTCTCAGGTCTGGGTGGTGGCTGAAAGATAGTCAATGAGATGAAAATATCACAAGAAAAGGAACCTCAGTTTCTGTTTGTAAACAGAAGTAAATAATATATCTATTTGGTTGTGTAAATATTGTAAAACCGTTTTAAGATACCAAGAGGGCAATGTTACATTCCAGGTGTACAATTCCTTTTTTATAACGGTTCCGGTAAAAGCATTAATTAAAACATCCCATCAGGCTGATCTTAGAATTTATTGGGTGAGTCAAGAGTAAACCGTTCTGATACAGCTTTCTAGTTGACATGGTTATGATTAACTTCATGCTACTTACTTTGACCATCAGATTGAATGTAAGACTATTCAAACAAATTATGCTTGGTCACAATAGGATTTATATTGACCTAATGCAGTATTTTATTTGGCTTATTTGTACTTTAATAGCAAGGTGACAGACAACATATGGAAATTACATTAAGTCTGTGAAAAACTCTACTTGTTAAAAGTTCAAGGGCAGTCTGTCTGATTGCAAAATCGTAACCAGCCCAAACTCTCTGCCCTGAGGTGAATGATTAAGAGGAAAATGTGTTTACTGTTTTATCTATTTTATGTTAGGTAAATTATTCTGCTTACCTGGAAGCCTTCATCAACTGGGATGAAGAATGTATACCTCCCTTCTGCTCTGAAAATATCAGCCTTCCTCATCAGATGGACCCTTTGCCTGAAAGACCTAGAGAATGGGAGGGAGAAGAGTTAAAGCTTTTCGAAATTAGAAGAGAAAGGTATACACAAATTTGTATCTTGGTAAGTAGTGGTAAGTAGTCTAGCAGAAAAGTATGTTTTACCTTTTCGTTATAGTTAAAACATACTTTTCTGTTAGAAAAAAAATCTAAATTTTAGAGTTAAGGTTTTTTTTAATCTTCGATTTATAATTTTTTTATTGAGATAGTTAACGCTAAATATTTATTTTTCCAGAGAATATGAGAATGATGAAGAGGTATTAATTTCAACTAACACACATACCATAGAGCGACTTATTTTATTCGGTTCTCTTGTAGAGTACAATGATAAATGTACTTCTCATAGTAAAGCTGGTTTGACACAAACGATCCAATTCAACTGTATTAATTAGGTACTTTCTTTGTGTTGTCAGTCCTCTGTCATTTACTTGGATTTCAGAGGACTGTATGCTTGTCACAACTACTTTTACTTGTATAGGTACTTCGGGACAATTATGACAAGATTATATCTTAAAACTGACTCAGACAAATAGACTCTAGATTGTGTTTCTTTAACTAGAGATTAAATGTCAAATATAATATAGGTACTGTAAATGTGTGGTTAAGTTGTAATATTCTCTGTTTTATACCGTAGTCTCTTCACAGCATGGTTCACCCCAAAGCAACCAGTTTCAAATGGAATTGTGTTATATAATAGGGTTTTCCAAAGATGACTGCTACAATAAGAAATCAGCTGACATCATTCACGCTTAGTTTTGATGATTAATCTATGCAACTGATGTTCCATAGAACTTGTGTTTGGTTGGATGGTTGAATGAGACCACTTATGATCTAATAACTTTTAGTGTTTATTATAATTAAAAGTGAGTATTAATCAAATCATTTCATACCTAACTCGGTGAGATCCTAGGTCTAGGTTTTCTGATTGGTTTAAGAAAGCCCATGCGTCTGGATTGTACACTGGTGGATCAGGATTGGTTGATCTAACTGGCTCTAACACATCATCAATAATGTGAAGAACCTGGAAGAACAATAAAAGTGATGTGCTGATAAAAAAAAGTCAGTGTACATATTGAAACCAGAAATTATTTCTTCGTCATATGTAACAATTCGGACCTATAAAAAGATAGTGGTATATGCTCCACAAAAAAGTGAAAAATTAAAATACCGCTAAAGTATAAAATATTGTTTTTGTATGACTATAATTTGCACTTTATTATTAGTATAAGGTATAAGTACTTTATATCTTCTTGTAAATTTTTATAAATGTATCAAAAGGTGTTGAAAGGCACATTTTACTTCAGTATGTCTGTAAAATAATTGGATATGTTTTGATAGTTGGGTGATAAATTACTTGCATAAATATCATCCTCTTACTTGGTTAGTACTGTAATGTGTAATTATCACCTAAAACTTAACCACTGCTATATTTTACTTTATCAATATATACTTTAATCATATATTCTGTTTCCTGAATGCTTTTTAATGCTCATCTATTAAGTACAAATCTAATCATTTTTGGAAAATTTTCTCTATTAATCAAAACAAAAACCACTCGTCCTTGGAAGTATGAGAGTTTTTAATAGATAATTATGAATAACAACTTGTACAAGCAAATGGAAAACAGTCTAAAAATTAAGAAAGTTCTTCCTTGTTCAAAAGATAAAATGCATGAGCATAAATAACAATAAAAATCCCAATTTTAAAGTTAATTAGTTGAGGAAAACATTTCTACGATAACTTTTCCTTGATTGTGTAAGGTTTTTTTTAGTTAATTATTTAGAGACCATTCAACAATATTTTAAGTTATTGTTCCTAACGATAATAAAACAACTTAAAAAAATAATTCCACTCTCTTGAAAAAACCGCACAATCTTGATAAAAATAATTCCACATCAACTTTAAATTTAAACATTAGAGAAGTAAGAGACAATAGTTTAATTTAGGATCTTTGATTCACAAGTAATATAGGGAAATCTTTTGACACAAGAATTCAACACAGATGTGCTCCAGTTACAATATATCTCCAAGTCAAAGCTCAACCACAATTAAACCATTACTTGCAAGAAAGTTTGAGTTTTAATCCAACATTCACGCTGCAGAAATGTTTTAATGTGAAAATATTGGTAAAGTTTCAGCCTGAGTTGGATTTAGCTTCTACAATAATCCTTTTAACACAAGTTTGTTTGTTTTTACAACCAGGAAATTGACAATCTTTTGTATTATTTTATAATCTTTAAGAGTGATAAAAAGCATCTTAGACACATTCTTTTACAATAAATAAACTGAAGAAAACTGACTAGATAACAATAAATAACTATGAATAAAAATATTTTTTATGGTAGTTAAATATTTAAAATAATGAAAAGGTACTACTAATAATCCTATAATTTACAACCAATATAATATATCAGAGTGAAATTGTAGAATAATAACTAAAGTAGGTTATATTACTCATGAAAATCCTTATAATGTGCATGCATCTTCTAAAAAAAAAATGTCTCTTATGTAATAAATGTTAAATTTACCTCATATGTTACATTTTATTTTAAATAGCAGGCAAATAGCTACAATAATCAATAAAAAATAAAATAAAATTATCAAATTGATAAGATTTTCTCCCCTTAAGTAATTACTGACTTACTCTCTTCACTAAGCTCATCAGTGTTGCCCACTAATAATTCTGATATTGTCACTTGCAACTTTGTGTCCATTTAAAATGTTCTTGTTTGTATATTAGCGTCTATTTAATTAAATTCCCTATGATAAATAATTTTATCATTACATATATAAAAAGATATATTCTATGGACAACTTTTCACATTTATTACGGGTATTTTTTTGTATATAACACTAATACTAACATTTTGAGTACAAAAGGACAGTAATATAATATTTATAGATGGATATTGAAATGGAAATAGATAGTAAAATACATTTTCAGCAAAATGATTGAATAGACAGTCAGTGAAGCAAACTGAAAGAGGATTAATATTTGAGTGGATCCAAGTTTTTGTGAAAAATTGTAGCCTACCAATATCGGAGGATCTGGAAATCCGGTTTTAGCTTTTATAATCGATTTGTAGTTTATAACCATAAAACGAGTATTTGATATAGTTATTTGTAGAATACAATATTGACTATAAAATTTGTAGTATGCCTTAAGATTAAGCTTTTCACACTATATTTGTATTGGCATGAAAGGACACGTGTTTCATTGCTTATTTTAAGACAATAAATAAATCAATCAAACAATTTATTGACACTTAAAAGACATTTAAAATTAATTGAAAAATTCAACATTTAGACATTAACATATTTACTATAAAAACTTAAATAAATAAATAAAACCAGTACACTAAATTTAAGAGTGTATGAATTTGTCACCAATATGTTTGCAAATTTTGTTTCATGAGATTAGAACTTTGTTTTCTCATTCTCATGGACCTGAAATATATATTATTTTTTTTTATAAATAAAACCGAGTATGGAATGCTTTTTTTCAATTTTAATAGATTTCTCTACAAAGCGAAGTCCATAAAAGTATAAAAGTTTGTTAACAAGAAAAGTTGTCGACATCATTGCAGGGTATTGTGTTTCTACAGATTAATTGGATTCTCAAAAATTCCACACATGTCTGACCTTCCGACCACTCGGCAAGAACTTTGGCAAGAAAATACTTGTGTAGGAAACAATGTTCAATACAAGGTAGAATTTCACCTACGACTATCATTTTGAGGGTTGACTTTCAAGAAAAGTAAAAATGTCAAACTGTTTATCTTTTTCTGCACGGGTAGCCCGATTAAATAAGCCACTGAATAATAAAATTTGATGAATAAAATTACAAGTATTTATCAAATATACAGTATGAGCAATTAAAATTAGACATACAATTTAATATGAAACAAGCGTGAAATTAAGCTAAAATCTACTTCTAAAGCTCTTCGCCCCCTCACTGCTACCGCTATCTTCGTTCATGAAGAATCTTTTGCAGATTTTAAGCATTAGTTAATAGCTTTGCTAATAATTTTTTATGTAATGAATACCTACATAAGATGAAGGTTTTGGCTGAACTAAGTTGAGAATATTTTGTTTGAGCTCACGCTTTTAACTAGTTGGTAAAAACTGTGTGAGTATTTGTTTTAGAAAATGTTCATTAGGAATGGGTATCCATAGTATTTCCTCTCTAATCTAACCTTAGTAATTAATAGGAATTCCTGTAATATAATAGGTATGCCTAGTAACATTTGAATAGGTATAAGAAAGCTGGTAGGTATTGAAATCTGTGTTTACCTGTTTTCGCCCTTGAAGGTTATTGTGGACCTGGTTGGATCTAGAGACCAGTACTTTAGCGTTATTCACAAATATTTCCTCTTTGTTCCCATCTCTTTGCCGAGTTATCCACAACGGAGGATTGCCCTCCAGCTCTGAAGATACGGAATTGCCAAGTTGAGGCAGCATTTGGGCAGAATTAGCTGTAAACAGAAAAATATGCTGTATTTTTGTTTTCAGTGTTTAGAGCCTACAGTAAAGTAAAGCAAAGTTCTTTAAATAAGCCATTTATTTATTGCTCATTTTATGGTGTAGAGCAGGATCCACTTTCAAGCAAGAACTACAGAGCAAGAGGACTCAGAGGTCTGGGCACCCATAGTAGGAAAATAACTAAACTATTGGCGAAAATACCTTTTGGTAAAATTAATTACAAATTAATATGAATTAAAACAACACATGATTTGCTTAAAAAAGTTTCAAAACACTTTTTTTGTGAAACCCACAAGTTTTATTTAATGAGAAATAGTCTAAATAATCGCATACCTAATAGACTTTTAAATAAGCTCATTCAACTTCTCGCTCTTTCCATCCTACTCCTCCACAACCAAAAAGTATTTCTATAGAATTTTTGCTTCTGGTATTGAACTTTATTTTAACGTGGGTCTCAATTTCTAAACAATTAAATTAACGGAAAGTAAATAAAATAAACGTCTTACAACAGTTAAAACGTATATTTAAGCTTTACTCAATGCTGTTACTAACAAGACGGTAAATATACATAAAAGAAGGTAAGTGGTAATCGATTTCGATTGGACACTCCAATTATCATCAGACCCAATAGGCGAAATGGATTTAGGCTCCTTGAAAAATAATTAGTTTGGCAATACTCAAATTTAAAATACTAAGAATTTTATGAATCTACTGTTGATTAGCCTGAGTAATAATTATTCTATTCAGCATCGTATGTGCCTAAAAAAACCTCAAATAGGCCTCATATAAAGAATTCCAGGTGTATCAATTGTGAAGAACCTGTGACATTTTATCACAATCTATATTAATGGCTGTTAAATAATTTCAAAAAAATGTTTTTTAGTATGAGATATTAAGTTTTGGATTGAAAGTGGCCTGTAAATCTGTAAATATGCATTTTAAATTATATCACAGCTCAGGGGCTAAAACATGGATTTTAATTCAAAACATAAGTTTCACGAAAGTAAACTTAAAGGTTAACAGCATTCACTTGATCATAAAAACATAGTCATATTCTGTCTTAGAAATAATGAGCTATTAAATTACCAATTTCGGCCCTTTGAACAAGCATTTCAGAACAAATTTATCCAAGGCAAAGTTTCACCACTCAAATTGGGAAAGAAAGTAACTTCCAGATTTCTTGTGAAAGTTCATTTAAAGTTTGTTGTAAACCATTCCTTTCACAATCCTTATGTGCCTACGTAGGATACAAGAACAAATTAATGTCAATTGGTATTTGAGTTACGAAGCTTTTAGAACGTTAAATAAAACCGTATTCAATTTTGCCTATACATTTATTTCTTTTAAATGGTTGGATGGTTTTAAAATTGTATTTTCTGTTCAATTTTTCCATAAAAGTAATGGAAAAAATGTACCCACATAGTTTCTACATAGTTGTCTTTTTGTTATATAGTCTCAATCGATGTCATAAGCACCCAAAGCCACTGATGTTTAGTGGAACAACAAAATATTGTTATTTTGTTGTATAGCTAAGACACCTGTACAGTTTATTATCCCTTACTGATACTATTTATGTATGAAGGTGAATCAAAAACCCATGCTGGGACTAAAAATAAGTAAGTCTAAGTTCTGTTCTTAACTGCGAGTACACTGATGTGCCAGCTGGGATGAATATAAAAAATAAAATAAAAATATGTTTTTAAAAATTCAGGATTCTATTAAAATTAGCATACTTAAATTTTACTTCATCAAGGTGTCGTATTACAAGCACTTCACATAAAGACAAGAGTCAATACTCCCTTCAATAGCTTCATCGTGAGATCTTAGATACTTTGATCATAGATTTAATTAAATCTGTCCAGACAATATTCTCTAATTACCTTAACCTTGATCTGAAAACTTGATTCACTTTGTTCATTTTTGCTTCTGTAGAATTGAAACATAAATTACGCTTTTAAATTGTGATATAAATCAATTAAATACCAAGCTAATTAAATTACTATGATATCGATTAATTTTAATGTAAGTAAGTCACACTATTTAATAATGTAATATTTTATAGTATAATTAAGCTATTTAAGTAAGTCACGAGTTACAGTTTGCTTTTTTAAATTTCTCCTTAATGATGTTTTCTCAGATTCTCGAAAAAAGCTTCAACTTTTCACTGATTATCTATGATTTTATGTAATTCGTCAATAATTGCCACCAGGCTACATACTCCCATTGACAATCCTTAGCAAGTTTTACGACAACAACTTTGAAGATAAAAAAAGTTGTGGAGGAAGGGATTTATAATTCACCTCACAAAGTACATGCTTTATCCTCTATTAGCCTAATTAATTGCTTAGCTTTAAGGCAAGGATATCGTTTGTTATGTAATATGCGAAATAGATTAGGAAACCTGAGCTATGTGGTGAATCAAGAGGAATTTCATGGGGATTACATATTTCAAGGAATTAGTATTCAAGTATTTTCAAGTATTTAGTTCTGAATTTAAAACAAGCAATTGACAATTTAAATATTGTATTTTATTAATTCACACAATTAGGTATAACAATTTAATCAATATTTCCCTACTCAGACTTCAAACCATTTAAGACTTCAAATTTTAGTGTTGACTTTTCATATAACTTGATATCAGTTCTCATCATGAAATCAATACTCGCAGTTGAAGTTTACTACTTGAAATCTATACACATTCATCCAGTGGTATAAACAGACACAGCAATACTCTGGAGTGTATGGTGACAAAACAAACAACTATTTTCAAGTGCCTCTTAGAACGCTTTTATACGAGTTCTCTGGAGAGATTCAAGGTGGGATTCACAGTTTCGGGGTGGGAGGGGGTATAGCAGTGGTGAGTGTTTCCAGTATTTCCAATTATTTCAACTAATTATATAAAACAATATGTTTTAATAATGTTTCGTATACATACACCCTGTATATGAATTGGAACGAATGGTGTTTTTGACCACTGGGGGCATGAAAACGAAAAAGTTAATCGGTCCCGGGTCCAGGTCTTACCACGAGATCTACGGAAACAGCTTATACATGGAAAATTTGCTAAAAATGATACGATAAATGTTATGTTATATTATTTAATAATACTATTTAAGCATGTAGTTTGTTCATGTTTTATATGCTCTGAATCCATTAGTTACTCAATAAAAAAGTCCGATGGTCAAGTTTTGTTTAAGAATAAGCTAATCCCAATCCATAATGCAAGTTAACGTGGGTTTTTGCGTAGCATTGTTAGTATTTTAATTGTTTAGCACTGTATAAAGTTGTAAAAACTTATACGTCACAGCTTGTCCCGGTAAAACATTTCTACAAATGTAACGATTCCACAAATGTTTAACTTAAAAGGTTGAACTGAGAAACCCCCTGTCACTTAAAGGAATAGGTTTATTTGTAATTTATTCAGTAAGCGCCTCACTCCCTGGGGTAGAGTGACTGATAGCCTGCATGTGATCAACAAATATTTCAGAGAGGTGTTCTGTTTATGTTTTATTCAGACTGCACCTTCTTTGACATATTTCACTCAGACAATAACCGAATCGTTCCCTAAATTTTTGCAGCATCATGTGGGTTTGTAATACTTAATGTTATAATTGGATTGAATTTCTCCTTCACCTCCGTTCTTATGTTGCCTGGCCTATTCTGACAAAAACTAAATTATAAAATTAACTAAGATGTGTAAGGTTTCATACAGTTGAAGTCACCCAAAACTAAGCATGTATAATCATATTTAAAGTAATATGTGATCAAAAGAAAAACGAGAAAAAATGATTTAACAGTAACATCAAGAAATAGGATCTGTTAGAACATCTTCTGTTAGAAATGTATCGAATAAACTTCTTGCTTGCCTTTGTCATTGTAATTACATAGGAGCAAACACCAACAATTGATTAATGTGGGAATGGGCCCTTTACCACATTGTATTCCTCGAAAACCTGCCACACGATAGGTCGATGCTTCCAAACTTGAGTACAACAATATTTGCATCAAGAAACCAACATAACTAAACCAACAGTACTTTAAAATTATTCAGGCAACTAATGAATAAACGACAGAACATATTTTTTATTAGACCAAAACTGTTTGAGGTGGAGGTTTTTAAGCTCACTTGGAAAAGCAAAAGCCCTGGATAAGAAAACAATAGGAAACGTTGAAAACACAAATACACAGAAAGACTTTGGTGTTGTGCACTCAGCTCACCTTGCCACCACTCAATGCGGTTGTTTAGCGGTGCTTTGTACAGCATGTGTATTGTGTATTATGTATTGTGCTCGTAGAGTTATCGTTGGGATATGTATAATAGACCTATTAAAGGCACATTTCATCAGCATAACTGAAGTCGCCATTTTTTACGTTCCTTATGTGGAACGTATCCAGAAAAACAAGGGGTGAGCCCGTGCAGTGCAAGAGTTACAGTACACTACCGAAACCAATACAATAATGAGAACCAGGACGAAAACACATCAAGTTTCATCGGTACTGTTCACTTTGTTTACTGGACATGCTCATCCCTTGCATTGCTGGACTCGTTCCACGAACATATGATTAATTTGGCTCAAAATAGTTGCAAAAACGCTAATATTTATTTTATATTGTGGCAATTGTTGACGTTGAGACTTTCCACCCTTTCGTATTTTTCCGTACATAATTACACATATAAATAAATGATACCACGAATATTAGAATAGAAATCGGTATGGATCATGAACATGAACTAACGGTTCCATTTGAGCAATGTTAAATAATGTTACTTACGGGCCAGTAACATCATTTGTTTATGTTTATCTATGTCTGTCCCAGTATGTATTTGTAACGCTCTTATGTTCCAAAACTATTTCATAAACATAGAATATATTATAAGCGTTAATAAATTGAATCGTTTTGTGTTGTTTTATATTCTGTTATTATTTCAGTTTTATAGAATATTTAGAGAGAGAGATTTATATATTGGATTCCTTTTGTGTTTCTATTTGAACCCTGTATTTGCCTGGCCACATAGGCATCGAGTCTGTGAATGGAACGTATCCAGCAAAGCAATGGGTGAGCAGCAGGGCTAGAGAGATTGTACTGATAAACTAGTTTAAGGATCTGAACCCACGACATCGTTGTCATGGATACGAAGTCCGTCACGCCACCGACTCACCAAAGGTTTTGAATCACAAACAAGCAATTTATTGAAAAAGATTTAATTTATTGTAAAATAATTTTGTTATTGTGAATGTAAAATTCCAGTACTAACCCTGATTCCTCTTACCTTTTTCAAATCAATTAAATCAAAATTATTCTCAAGTCAATCAAATCAAATCAATTAATCAAGTCGCAAACAATGCACATAAGCACAATATTCGGCAACATAATTTCAACAAGCAATGTAAATTTTCAAAAAATTATGTTTTAAATGGAATATACACTCTTATAAACGTAAAATGTAGCTGTAAATATGACTAGATAAATTAGTTAATAACAATCTTCTTAACGCTGAATTGTAGGTTAGTGTTGATTCCGTTTCGTAAAAACCAACAAACATTTATGTAAATTATTTCATACCTCATTAATATTTTAATTTGCAGTTGTTAATTTGGTTGATTTAATACGATGGTTAGGTGTTAATATATTAAATTGGAACTCAAAAATATGAAGTTTCACGCAGATTTAGAGTTGATGTTATTTAGTATGAATGTGGAGGTAAATTATTCATGCAAAATAAAATTTCATGATGTGTTAGCCTCTGGATCGAAATATTAAAATCAAATAATTTGCTATTACATTTGCAGTTAGTTTAGAATCACACGTAATAAAAATTGTTATTTATTTATTTCCAACGGATACCTCCAATTACAGTAATGTATACTTGAGTGACATGATAGTTAAGTATTGTTTAACATACCTAAGTTTACTATTACTCTAAATGAGGCATTAAGTTGATTGTTCCTTGAAACTAAGACTTGCTTTTGTTTTAGAGAATTTAGTTTTTGTATATTCAATAAATTAAAATAACACAATTTTCAATTATGACCAAAAAATTGAAACTATAATCAGTTAGGTTGTGGCGCTATGGACGACCCTCTGTATGTATATATATTGATATATATTGATAAGCTATGGTACATAACGAATGTATCAATGTAGTTTGTAATTGAATAACTCTTTTCAGCCGGTAGCGAGATAGTTGCATCCTACAAAATACATGTTTGTAGGGTAAAACTTAGCTCGACGTGACTTTTAATCAATAGGCTACCTTGGAACCGAGCATTGCACGGTGATGCTTAATTTGTTTGGATGGTAACAAAATTTCAAACATAAAAATGTATGATTCCCAATATTATTGCATTTTATTATTACAAACTAATAATAATAATTTTATAAAACCATGTCAAAAATTAATGTTTCAATATTTTTATCATAAAATACAGACTAAAAACTGAAATTTATTAAATTAATTTAAACACACAGGATACCAAATAAGAAGTGTCACCTAATAATATTTAATAATATGTAAGATAATAATTTTCCATAGAACATTGTAATCTCTAAAATTCAATATTTGTAGTGTGCAATGTAATCCCTTTTCATGTTTTAGAATCAAATGGTGTATAAAATAAAACCTTGACATATTACATTGTTTTATTAAACTTAACGTAAAATCGATTTTGAACAAACTTTGATGGCAATAGAGCTTTGAGTGGTCCTTGAAGGTAGTATAATGAAACCTTTTATTGAAATCATTTTAAGCATACTTTGAACACTTTGAAAGCTATTGTCACATGTCATATGTGGTTTGCGATTAAAACAAGTTGTTTGATAAACTTTCCAATTCGTTTAAACATATCTTTAATTCAGAAGGTTGATTAATTCTCGCTCGGCTACTATACAAGGCTTATCATTATAAAAGGCAATCTCATATTATATTTTATGGTTTATAAAACTGTATGTGATACTGTATCGAGTTTGTCAACTATCCTAGCCGCTAGATCCATCATACTGTTTTGTACTAAGCCTAGAAAAAATACAATCTTTATTTAAATTAAATATTGAAAAAACACGCCTACAATAACTGCTTTGAGCATTTTAATATCAAATTACTTAATTAACCTCTTTTAAAATATTTTGTATAATGATTTTACAAGGTTTTAACAAACGTTTAATGCATTAAAGACGGGATAAAATGTAATATATTTCCTCGTTCAGATAGAAGATCAAATGTATTTATAGAAGATGAAGTCAATATAGCAGAGGAAGAGCATGTAATATGTTACGTCAGTTGATGTGTGCGATATTCAAATGCAGTCATGCAGACGTCTATGAAAAACCTTACATCCACTCTTTAAGCACTCGTACAGAGGGTTCTCTCTGGAAAGTGACACTAGAATATAGCTCCAGGTGCCCGCAATTGACACACTTCTGGTTGCATTTTTTTTATTTAGGAGATGTAGTTGTCTTGCTGTAACTCCGCAATGAGTATAAATAAAAACTCTAGAGTGGGTACATGTAGGCTAAGCATAAAATATTTCAAATACTACTTGATACTCACTAATTAGTTTTCAAATTGAAACTCACCTGATAATTACTATACTCAATGAACTCCAATTTATACAAACTAAGAAAATTCTATTTTTCACCACAAATCGTTCACACGATTAAAACTTTTAATTGCCAGAGTTTAAATATGGCCTCTAACACGAACTCCCTCTCATTTTTGCAAGTGTTTAGGCTAGGCACCAAAGCATTGTTTTAAACCGCTCATTTAAGGGTTTTTGGTAGAAAATTTGATCTCGATATTTTTTATTGTTTAATTATACAAAAAAATTAGAGATACAAATATATAAGGCAATTTTTTTAATTTTGAATACTAAGGGAGGTATGGAGCTTGAAAGTAGTAAATTTGTTATATTTTGGTACCAATTCACAGGGGGGACGGTAAATGCGATTCTCATCAAAATTGGCATCCAGGTGAGGAAGATAATAATAGATAATAATCACTAGCTATCCATTCTCTCAGTAAAATGGTACCAAAATATGAAAAAAAACTTTTTTGTTTCTTATATATTTGTATCTCTATTTTTTTAGTATAATTGAACAATATAAAAAAATCCAAGATCAAATTTTCGACCAAACACCCTTAATCTTAAAAAGTATACTAAGGATTATGGACTCCCTATTTAAGAAACTCGTTTTTAATTTTGTCGGCGAGTATGTTGTATTCATGGTTAAAAACGGTATTACGGTATTTTATTTATGATTTGTTTAACGATAATAACAATTGCTTAACCAAATATTCTGCAACTCAACGATTTTTTGCTTTATGTAAATCATAATTTGACTCCTAACTCACCCATATGAATTGAAGAAAAATATTTATTATAATGACACATATTTAATTGGTGGAACGTATTTGATATTTTATCTCCTTAAAGGGCACCATCAAAGAAACTATTTATATTTATTGAAAAATATAAACCTCTAAGTTATAAAACTATAAAAACTTTGAATAGCTTTCCAATGAAAATGCACCAATAGATGAATATGTCCCTCATAACACTTCAACGACACTTCAAAGGGATGCCTCTGGTCAAAGCACTGTTTGTTTAAAGCTGTGGTCGATTGTGGTTGACGATCTTTCTTTTCTTTACATTAGATCAAAAGCAAATGCTTTGTATTAAACTCAACTTTACTTATTTAAAAAAATAAGCTTGAATTATTTAGGCCTAATTAAAAATGTGTCTAACAAAATATGTTTGGTATAAAAATGTATAAATTTGTTATAATAGTTCGAAATTGGTTTGATAAGTATTCAAGTGATCTAAGGATGACAAATTAAAGATGTGTCATTTTAAATTTGAATATAAATTTTGTTATATCAAAAACTTTGATGTTATATCTAATATCACGAATCAATACACTAAATTAATTTTCTGTAACAGAACTAGTTCATTATTGGTATGAAACAGGTAAAAAACCTGATTTGCAAATATGGATTAATAATTTATAATTTATTGTTTTTCAGTTGAGTGATTCACAGGACCCATATAAATCTAGATTATTTACGCGTTTGATCCGAACAAGTACTTTAAATCCTCATTGACTAAAGATACGCTACTGAAATATGGATATTCCATCGAATGTATTAAAATGATAACACCTGTATCAACCAGTATTGAAATTGGAGGAGATTCACCTAGCTTATTACCAACATGAAACACACGTATCGTTTGTCAGTTAATCAGAGAAGGTTGTATAAGTTCACTTACTCATGTGGTATAGGACCAAGGAGTCGTCCACTTTCCCTTGGAACTTCTGGAAAGCGACGTTAGCTGGTGCGAACACAGTCACACTCCGGTACATCAGCGTAGTGTTGGCTATGTGGTTGTTCTCCAGCAAGGCGTAGAACTGAAACAAACCAACAGACCATCAATATAGGCATGGAGGAAAACTAATATTAGGTAGTGTCCAAACCAATACGGCATGGAGCATGAAGATTTAGGTTTGATGTACAATTCAAGAATAACAAGCCAAAAGGATGTAAACAGGGGTCTAGAGCCTGAAGGAAAACTAACTCCAGGTTATATTCCATTCCAGAAGTAACACACCAACAAAACACCAACATTGGCCTGGCTGGAGCCTGGAATACAATCCCTTCCAAGAAGGGTCCTCGTCCCTTTTAGTAGTAACAAACCAATAAAATTACTTGAAGAACAATGCCAATAGCAAATCGAGTTGTAGTGCCTCAAAAGGAAACACGGATAAAGTATATAGCTTCCTAAACATTAACATCAACTTGTATTAATAGTTTGAACTCGGCTATATTTTTATATATAACATGTATTATGAATATCATATGATCACGAAATAATACAAGAACTCGTCCATTCTGGAACATCGTCAATATAATAGTGGTTTGTTTACCTTAATACCTAATAATCCTTGTATACTTTATACAGGTTAATAAAACAGCCAAACTCTGGGAAATGATTCTATTTCTCAAAATAAAATGAGAACCAAGACTGAAACCCTTTTTTTAAATCGCTTCGTTAACCAGATATCCACCGTTTTGTATTTTTGTATTAAATAACTGTATATTTAGATTGTTCCAAACCGGTCCTTATAAAAATGTTATGTAATAGGTCTAAGGTAAAATAGACCTATTTTAGATATAAATAACTTGGCCTTATTCAAAACGACAAAAACACGGCTGATTTTATGAAACACCTTGCACACTTGTCGATTACACCTATGAATTGTAATTCTTCTTCAAAGCTTTTAGGACATGATGTTCCAATGATACTTCCCACACATGCTAGAGGATAAACTTTTTTCAAAAGTATGCTATTTGTAAAATTTAAAATCGTATTGATGTAAAATTATAAGGGGAGTGAGTTGGTCCAGTGCTAGAGCGCGAGATTTTGGTTGCTGAGGTCCCGGGTTTAAATCCCGTCAAATCACATTGGATCACCTAAGTGATAATGCCATAACCCCTAGGTCTAGACTGCAGTAATGTGAAAAACAATCTCAGGCTAGTACCTAACGTCTTAGGACAAAAAATGTAAACCTAAAATTTTTCACTGCAAAATATATCAAGTGCAAGATATGTTGTTTGCGTTATAATAAATGCAAGAATGCGATTTATCATTTATGATTACATGGAAAGTGTCATGTAATTACTACTTTATTATATATTTTATTTAACATGACAAAAGATATTGTCAAAATAACTAATTTATTATTAGTAAGCAAGAAAGAATATTTAATTTAATTTCTTATAATACCAAGTTGGTATAGTCAGGATAATTTCATTTTTTAAGTTGTCAGTCCTGTAAATGCAAGCAGTCCAAAAATCATTCAGTACAGTTCAATCTCTCTCTCACTTTAACTTTAACTGTGCTACTACAACCATGTTGATGCCAGTAAGCATCAGATCAATTCATAGTGAAAATTAATATCAAGTGCAGTGCAAGATACATATAAAATAGCATAGCAAGATATATTTAACTAAATTGCCAGTATGCAATATGAAGAGGACCACAAAAAGGGGCCCCTGGACAATAAATTTTTAAATGGAAAATACATGAAGAGGATTAGGCCTAGTGAAAACCAATGCAACATCAAGGTAACAAACATCAGTTAATATTTATACAGTCCACTTATAAACTCTTTCTTTTTGTATATGGTTATTACAGCCAAAACATAACATTTTTGGTCCTTCGAGCCGGATTCTCAGTGTTCAGTCCATGGAATAGTAATGTAAAACATGTGCTTTTCTCCTTTCAATCTCAAACATGAAAGTTTTCATGTCGATTTTCATGTCAAGTTTTGCAAGTGACTTGTGTTCAAGATTTAAGTTGTGATTTAAAACTGAGTTCCAGTGTGAATAAATAGTGACTAACTTTTAATTATATTCATTTCATTTCACTAGCCTACATTAATAGACATTTATTTGAGCCATTGTGTCTCAACTTTATTCAAATTGATGAGTCAACTCATTAAACGACTGCTTGCATATTTTTTAGACATTGACTACAAACTAGCCTATTTTATATACCTCTTTTGAGAAAATACAAGTAATACCTATTCAAAGCCTTAGTAACAACAAACATAAGTTATATAGCTGTTGGAATATAAACTCAAGTTGCCTAGCCTAACTACAACTGAGAAAAAAGAGAACGGAAGTATTGTATAATCTGATTGAATCTATACCCTATAGCCTATTAAGTTAAGAGGTTTCTATATTTTATTTTGTGATTTATATTCAGCTGAATTGATTATCTTGTAAACCAATTTTATAGTTAGGCTAAGTAGGCCTACACAGTTATGCTGACAGGTTCACAGTTGTAGATGTTCTCTTCTTCATAGGCCTAGCCTATTCACAACTCAATTGATTCTTTTGAAGAGTTTTATTTATGTTTTACTGGCTCCATAGTTAGTTACTGTAAGCCTATTATGTTTTACTAATTGTTAGGCTAACTTAAGGTTTTTTGCTGAATTTTAGACTACATTAAGTCTGTGAAATAGGCTTATTGAATTAATAAGTAGGTAGGCCTAAACTTGTGCACTTCATGAACTAACTTACTCATCATGCCTCCATTGCGGTATACTACATTTCGCAAGCAAGCGGAACTCACTAAGGCTCGTCTATCTCAGCTCGACACTCAAGTCACTGCGCTTCATACAATAGGCCCTGATAATCTTTCAGATGTTCAGATTGAAAAAATTAAGGTTATTAAAACAACTGCTAATAAGAAAAATACTGAATTTGAGGCAATGCTCAACAAACTATTCAATTCGGATCCACTATCTGAAGACATTGATGATGATGAGGTCATTAAACTTCAAGAAAATATCAATGATTTGTATTTGAAAATTCTTAGCGTTTGCGCTGCACTCACTCCGGTTATTGAGCCTAAACTCGATCAGTCTCATTCGAGTAGCATAGGTCCAACCTCACATGACTCTGGAGGTTGTGGTGTTCGGTTACCGAGACTTGCTCTCGGAACCTTTTCAGGTCAACCCGAAAAATGGATTGCTTTCCATAACATTTTTGAAAACTCAGTGCACAAAAATAGTAGCATTACAGAGGTTGAAAAGTTCACTTATCTTTTGTCCTGTCTTAGCGGAGAGCCTTTAAACTTAGTCAAAAGTCTACCTATCACGACTGCCAACTACCATATTGCTTGGCAGCAACTCATGCAACGTTATAACAATTCTAGATTACTCATCACAATTCATGTTAACAACATCTTGGATATGCCGCCAATGCATGGCTGTTCTGTTAAACAACTTAGATCGTTTGCTTCAACATTTCAAGAAAATGTTAATGCGCTTCGTGCTCTGAATCATGACATATGTACGGAAAGCTTGTTTTTTGACTCTGCATCTTTTGCGTAAATTCGACCATGATTTTAGAAAAAGGTTCGAGCATAGCCGAAATGAACCGCAACAGGTTCCTTCAATCAAGGAATTTCTGGATTTCATCGAAAAGGAATGTACTCAGCTGGAAGCAGCAAACTTGACCCAAACTTCAGTCAAAAGTGTTTCTGCATATCCCAAGCCTAATTCTAGGCTAAAACCGCCCACTTCCTATCAGGCAACTTCTTCACAGGCTAAAACTGTTCTATTCTCTGCAAACGTTCAGACTTGTAATCATTGCCGTAAAAATGGCCACTTGATATTTAAATGTGATGACTTCCTAGGCCTTACCCCTGAAAAACGATTGACTGCTGCTAGAAATAGCTCATTATGCAATAACTGTTTAAGTAAAGACCATAGCATAAGAAACTGTGCTTCAACACGTAATTGTAGAATTTGCAAGCGACGTCACAACACTTTGTTACATTTGAGCTCACAAAACAATAATTCAAAACAGGACTGCGATAAGCAGGTTTCTGCAGGCAAAACACATAATCCTTCTCTGGAAAATTCTGATAAGGAGCCACAGGCAGCTTTGGTCGGCTTGTCCCACGCCATTGGTAATGTTGTGCTGTTAGGTACTGCACTAGTTCATCTGAGCACTGGTAGTAAAACAATAGTAGCAAGAGCTGTATTGGATAGTGCTGCTCAGCAAACATTTATTACAGAAAATTGTGCTCGTAACCTAGGCCTAGCTTGCAAACTTACTGAAAATCGAAACATCGTTGGTATCTCGTCCACCATTGTTCCTTCTAAAGGCTTGGTACGTGTAAATATAAGCTCTATTAGTGGCCGAGTGCTTGCTAAGCACCATCCTGTGGTTATTCTGGATAATATAACTAGTAACTTGCCCAGATGCCGTGTTTCCAGAGAAGTTAAGGAAATTATGCACAGTCTAGCCCTTGCCGACCCAACGTTTGACGTTCCTTCTCCTGTTGATATGTTACTTGGCGCAGATTTGTTTTCTTACACCCTTAGTGGTAAACCAATACATTTAGGCCCAAATATGCCTACTGCTCTTTGCACCATCTTCGGTTACGTTTTGCTAGGACATGCTCCTGTTCAGTTTGACAGTGAAAGCAATAGTGCCAATACTACAGTGAATCTGTTAACCATATCTGATTTTGACTTGCACAGTGCTGTGCAAAGATTTTGGACAGCGGAAGTAGTACCAGATGCTTCGAAGCTATCCCTATCTGATAATAAGTGTAATGAACATTTTTTGGATACACATTCTCGTCTTCCCTGTGGGAAATACCAAGTTCGTCTGCCATTGAAACAGAACCCCTCAGTTCTAGGCGACTCTACCAAGTCGGCCTACAGTATTTTTAAATCCCTGGAATGTCGTCTTGCTCGCAATACCGAACTTAAGAAGAGCTACACCGAATTTATGGAAGATTACGAAACTTCTGGACATATGGTTCCTTGTTCATTGTTACCTCCAGACACAGTTCATCACTTCCTGCCTCATCATGAAGTGTTTAAGG